GTATGAATACCAAAGTTCATGAAGTTGTACTTGAGAATGCTCCAAAAAATGCTCAGTATATTGCTCCCGAGATTCAAAAAGAGATCTTGAATATAATGGCGAATAGAGTTCGTCAAATGGTCCGTGAAGAAATTGCAAATAGTTGTTTCTGCATTCTTATTGATGAAGCACAAGATATATCTAAACAGGAGCAGATGGCGATTATTTTAAGGTTTGTTAACAACAGTGGAATTCTTACAGAGCGTTTCTTTGCCATCAGAAGTGTTGGTGACACTGTAGCAACAACCTTGAAAGGTAAAATATGTGATGTGCTTGGTCATCATGATCTCCAAGTTTCAAAAATGAGAGGCCAAGGGTATGATGGTGGGAGTAATATGCGAGGTTCATGGAATGGTCTTCAGGCATTATTTCGTAGAGATTGTCCTTATGCATATTACATTCATTGTTTTGCACATCGCTTACAACTTGCGTTGGTTACTGCAGCTAAGGATGTTAGCTTAATTTGGGAATTCTTCTCTTACTTGGATAACATTGTTAATATTATCACTTCTTCACCAAAGCGGGTATCGGAGTTGCACGCGTCTCAAAGAAGTGAAATTGAGAAGTTATTAGCAACCGGAGAGCTCGAGTTGGGACGTGGGGCAAATCAAATTGGTAATTTGCAACGATCAGGATCTACTCGTTGGGGTTCTCATTATAGCTCCGTAAAGAGTTTGATAGCCATGTATGCCGCAACTTGCAAAGTGTTTGAACATTTGGTTGAGAACTCTCCAAATGGAAGATCTAAAGCTGAAGTTCTTGGGACCTATAGAAAAATGGCAAGCTTTGAATTTGTGTTTGTCTTACACTTGATGCATAAACTTCTGAGAATAACTGATGCTCTTTGCCAGGTTCTTCAAAAAAAAAAACTCTTGATATTTTGAGTGCTATTACATTTGTTGGTACTACTAAAACTATTCTTTCAGAGTTAAGAGCATCTGGCTGGGAGGAATTTCTTAAGGAAGTCAAGAGTTTTTGCTCTTCAAATGATATTGATGTTCCAAATTTGGGTGATCCGTATAAGATTGGACGTTCTCGTTTTCAACCAACAATAGAACATCATTATCATTTTGATGTCTTCAATGAAGCGATTGATTTTACTTTGACTGAGTTAGGCACACGCTTTAATGATACATCCATGGAACTTCTTCAACTTAGTCTTGCTTTGGATCCCAAAAACTCCTTCAGCTCATTTAACAGTGAGGATATTTGTAAACTTGCACAAAAGTTTTATCCTGCGGATTTTACTGATCAAGACATTGTCTCACTTGAGTTTGAGTTGATTCACTACAAGCATGATATTGTTTCAACATCTCAAGCGTTGACACTTGTTGAGTTATGTCAACATTTGACGGAGAGTGGGAAATCAGAAATCTATGTTATGCTGACGAGATTAATTCGTCTTGTTTTGACCCTGCCTATTTCTACTGCTACTACGGAAAGAGCATTTTCAGCAATGAAGCATGTCAAGACGGCACTTCGTAACAAAATGAGAGATGATTTTCTTGAAGATTCATTGATGATCTACATTGAACGAGATTTTGCCAATAATATAGATGTAGATTCTATTATTGATGAATTTTATACTTTGAAGTCGCGTAGGGCACAACTTAAATGATGTTTTGATGAATATTTAAATTGTTGACGACTTGACTTATTATTATGTATGTATGTTTCAATTTTCCCCCAGCCCACCCCATTGTAACTTTCTGGATCCGCCCCTGGTATCAAGGTATGTGCTCGATCTAGTATATATAATCAACTCCTACGTAAATCTTATGTAATACGATACTTTTGTAGTATGCATTGATATAACATTTTAAAATGAGCATAGATCCATTACCAAACGAGCACACAAAACACACCAAATGAGCAATAATATGAAAATCATAAGCTTTGTTAGTTGAGCATCAAGTCATTTTCATTGAACATTAGATCTCTTCTATTGAGCATCAGAAGCATGCAATTTAGTATCATGATCTATGCTCCCATGTGAATCTAATATGAAACTTTTGAATTATGCATTAATATGACATTTTAAAATGAGCATAAAACCAGTTCCAGATGAATGTGCGTAAATTACAAAATGAGCATTAGAAATTCAAAAGCTCGTTTGAATTCTCTAATGTGTTTAAATGTCCATTTTTGCACATGTATCATAATGACAAACATAATAATGACAAATATAATAATTTTATATTAAAAAAAAATGTATAGTCGTCCTTTCTGGAATTACAAATATAATAGGGTTCTTTTTATAATGTTTACCCATGCTATTTATTTTACACCATACTCATTTTAGCATAACATAAAACTCATGTTAATTAGTAATTAGTACATAACTTTTAATAAACTAATAAATATTCATCTTACATTAATAATAAAAAATAAGACATTAATACCTCAAAATATTTAATAAAGTGATAAAAATTCATCTTATTAAACTAAAAATAAAACACTAATACCTTAGATATACATCATAAATTAAAGGTAAAATCAATGGAAAAGGTGTTACAACAAAAAGGTAAAAAAGAAATTAAAAAGAAAGATTAGAGTTACGTGAAAGCAAAAACAAAAAAGTCAAATGGAAGAGAGCATATGCAGATATGCTTGCGCGTAGTGGAGTAAAGTCAGCAGGGAAAAAAAAATAAAAAACAGCATATGGACTATGGAGTACGTATATCGTACACCCGGATGTACGGGTGAGAACCGTACATCCGGTTTTGTTTTTTAAAATTTTTTAAGCTTCAGTCCATTTTAATAACCCAGTTTGAATAGAATTAAATGAATCTCACGGAAGGCCCATAAAAAGGCCCAATTAAAAGAAAGACAGTCCATTTAGTTAAAACAGCCTATTTTTTTCGGTGGCAGTTTTGTAATTTCACCGAAAAATAATGGCTCCCGCTAAATGAGCAATATTGTAGTTTTGTTGAGCATCTCACATATTATATTGAGTATTATGAGACTAATAATGAGTTTCACGATCTCTGCTTCATATCTTCTATTTTTTCTGCTATAAAAACTTACTCCGTATTAAATTATATCTAAAATTCACTCCTATTAATTTCAATATGCGAGTCTAATGTAATATGATACTTTTGAAATATGCATTGATATGACATTTTAAAAATGAGCATAACATTAGTATCAAATGAGCATACATAACTAACAAAGTGCACGTTGATATGAAAATCGTAAGGTTTGTTAGTTGAACATCATGACATTTTAAATGAGCATCAAACCTCAACTATTGAGATGAAAATCACGACTTCTGGGGAATGAGTAATAATGAACTTTTAATGAGCACCCTAACTATTCTGTTGAGTATTAGGAGTCTAATATTCAGAATCGTGATCTCTGCTTTACAAACTTCTAATTCACTTTCTTTTTGTTATTTTTTTTCGTAAGATTTGTTAGTTAAATATCACGACATTTTAATTGAGCATCAAACATCTGCTATTGAGATGAAAATCATAGTATCTTGTGAATGAGCAATAATGAACTTTTAATGAGTATCAAACCTATTATGTTGAGTATTAGGAGTCTATCATAAAATAATACTTTTAAAAAATGCATTGATATGACATTTAGAAAATGAGCATAAAATGAGTATCAGATGAGCATATGTAACTTACAACATGAGTATTAATGAGCATATGTAACATCACAACATTTTCATTCAACATCAAAACTTCTCTATTGAGATTGATGAAAATCACGATTTCTATTAAATGAGCATTAATGAACTATTAATGAGCATTAGACCTATACAAATGAGCATGTGTAACTTACAAGATGAGTAGTTATATGAAAATTGTAATATTTTTTTGTTGTGCAACAAGACATTTTTTGTGAGCATTAAATCCCCATTATTGAGTATTAGAATCTGCGATTGAGTATAATGATTTGTGGTCTCGTGTCTATAATCAACTCTTATATAAATCTAATGTAATATGAGACTTTTGAAATGTGCATTGCTAAAACATTTTAAAAATGAGCATAACAGAGATACTAAATGAACATACATAATTTACAAAATGTGTTTTGAAAAATTCAAAAACTCATTAGTATGTTATAAAATGAGCATTAGTATGACAATCATAAGTTTTTTTTAGTTGAGCGAGCATCAAAACGTTTTCATTGAGCATCAAATCTTCTCTATTGATTATTAAAAACATGCAATTGAATATCATGGTATGTGCTCTCGTATATGTAATTAACTCCTACTTCAATCTAATTTAATATGTAACTCTTGAAATATGAATTGATATAACATTTTAAAATGATCATAACATCAGTACCAAATGAGCATACATAATTTACAAAAAGAACATTGATATGGAAATCGTAAACTTTGTTAATTGAACATCAAAACATTTTCATTGAGCATCAAACTTTCTTTTATTGAATTACAAATATAATCGTGTTCTTTTTATAATTAATGTTTACTCATTCACATTTATTTGTACTCATTTTTGTATAAAACAAAATTGAGTAATTAAAACACAATACTCCGTATATAATAACTAATAAAGATATATAATTAAAATAAATAATAGAAAAATAAAAAATAAATACCTAAAACATTTTATATTACACAAATAAAAAAAACTAAGTTAGAAAGTTGATTGGAAAAAGAGAAAATCTGGGACATTAAGTAATATTTTATATTATAGATTTTCAAAATAATTTAATTTGAAATTAAAACAAAAAATTGTTAAAGAAGAAAACAAAAACCTGAAAAGGAAGACCCCAAAGAAAACAAAAAGTTGATACCGAATAAAACAAAAAAAGAAAACAAAGAACTGAAAACAGAGTAAGCAACCAACAAACCTAATGCTAAGCAAAAACCGCCGGATGTACGTACCACTGGCGGTATGATATAATTTACCATGCGGATGAAGGACGAACTGAATTACCTTGAAAAACAATTACAAAAATACCCGGATGTACAGTCAGAACCGTACATCCGGGTGTACAATATAATTTGCCATGTATACCGGCCCGTAACCGCCCCGCTGCAACTCCCCGTTGCTTGATTCATTCACTTTTCTGCTACGCTCGAACTCCATATACGAGTGAATATCTGTCCACCGTTATTTCATCGTCTCTTAGAAGTTGGCTGGCCAGCGGTGGGTTAAAACTAGAAGCTGTCACGCCATAATTGAGCGAGCCGCCGAGGTGGCCGTTTGGGTATGTTGGCGCATGTGACGCAGAGTTTTGCGGGAATATGTCAGATACTTCTTTGTCACCCCAATTTATTGGTTCCTTCTTTAAATTCCTTTATCCCATTCCCATTGTCTGGCTTCCGATCCCATTCTATTCATTACTCCTCTGGTTCTAGGAGCAGCAGATACAGATCTATCTCTTTCTCTCTCATGGCTTCTTCCGGTCGCAGCTCTCCTATTCACAGCTCCCATTCCTGCATCCCCGCTACTCATCAACCATCATTGGTTGTTTTTTCAGGCATGTTATGTTCGTGTTTTCATTTTTGTGATTAATTTCTGATTCGTTTGAGATTGGGATCCGTGAATCACTCACTTTTCCTGTTTAATTGTTCCCATTTTATTTGTGATGGGATAATAAGTGGGCAAAATATTAGAAATTTCCTTAAGTGATTTGACTTCTACATTTCTTAAAATTGTCATGTACTTAGAAGCATTTGTTGAGAAGATTGAGATAAAAAAGTGATTATGATTGTCCTACTTTTTTTGAAAAATAAGCAGAACCCGAATCAATTCCAAACACCTCCAAAAAAACCTACTTACATGAAACAAAATTAAAACCTTTCTGCTCGTTTCTGCAAGTTCAATGACACCAAACTTCCAGGCACAGAGAAATTACCACTCCGCCACCCACCATACTCCTAATAGCAGTGTAGATTTACTCTTATTAGCAAACATCCTATAAGAAACCCTCTTGTAAGAAACTTCTTCTACTATAAGTATATATCTGTTGGGCAGTTAGATTTAGCTGATTAGTATTCTCAAATGGTATCAAGAGTTTAGGTATTATACTTATTTAGGGCGATTTTTTTTGCAAAATATTGAGTGTGGTGCATAAGTACATTAGGCATTTGATGATCTTAATTTGTGTATTCATATACACGACTTGAACAATGAAGTGAAAGGAGAACCTCTAGTTCAACCAATTGAAATGAAATTCGAATGCTGTATACTTGTTGATTGTTATTGGGTAATCAATATGTGATGGATGAAAGCTTAACTTCGCGTATTAAATGGCTTGTGCTTCTTGTTTTATACAAATGCAATGCCTTTTAATTTCCATGCCGAGTTATGACAATCACTACATTGGGATCTGACAAGTTGTGAGCGTACAGGTGGAACAGCTTTTAATTGTGTAGCTGAAGAGCTTAAGAAGTTAACTACTCGTGTCACTCACGTTCTCCCTGTGTCTGATGATGGTGGAAGTACATCTGAAATTGTCAGAGTTCTTGGTTAGTTTCATATCATTGATCTTCTCAATCTTCTTTGTTGCTGGTCCTTATTCTTCTGGTTTACCACAACCCTCAATTTTGCGACTGTAAATCATTGTATTAGTTTGAAAAGACTAATCAATGTAATTTTACTGATTTTAACATTATATTGGAGCATTTCATATCTGCAAACTCCCGATTTACTGAACCACTCTCTGGCTAGGTAAGAGTAATACTGCCAAAGAAGTAACCAGTAGAAGTACTTAAGGGCTGTTCTGTTCATCTTATATCTTTTTCTTGTTACTTATTCTGATTTTAATCAATTCAGATTTCAGACCTAAATAGATAAAAAAGATTCGAATTAGACCACATGATATGTTTCAGAATAAAAACTAGACCAAACAAGAAACATTCTGATTAGACTAAAAAGATTCAGACTGCACCATAGCACTCCACTCTCAAAAGTTCAGACTAGATAGACAAGAAAGGTTTAGGTTAGACCAACTGACCAAACCAGAGTAGAAAATTCGGATCACGTCACAATGCCAGGCGAAGAGAACATGTCCTTAGTTGGCAAATTAAATGTTACTTTGTACATATGGGATTTTTTGTCTAGGTTGGTTACTCTATTGACCGATAAACCTCATGTACTAAGTCATTTTCTCCCTCTCTCTGTTTCTCTTCCTGTTGTGTGTTTTTCTTTTCCTTCAGTGTGAGATATAGCAAGTTTGTTTTATGAGTATCCTGCAGGTGGTCCTGCAGTTGGGGACATACGGTCAAGATGCTTGAGATTGTCTGATCAAAGCACTTCTGAGGCTCTTGCTGTAAGAACATTGCTTGGTCATCGGCTACCTCTTGATGCACAAAAATCAAAGTTAGAGTGGTAGTGAAACCATATTCTCGAGTAATGCCTTTTTTCTGGTCTGCCGGTCCACTTTGGTGTGCTCCAAGATTGTTTAAACTCATGTGTATAGCTACCCTTTCTGGGAATTTTTGTGTTTACACTGCATTGTTAAGATCATTTACATTGTGATAATGTCTATATGGTGAAAAGGTATGCTATTGTGGAAGGGAACCATGGTCTTTGGAAAGGCGTGTCAAAACCTTACGGCGAAACGATACGAGCTTTCTTGGCTTACTTTCAAAATCAGGTTTATTGTTCTCCTATCAACCTTATCTCTCAGTTAAAGCTATAACTAAGCTTTGTTTCTAAAGTCCATTCAATTGATATTCTCACCAAAATTGTTTTTTTCATCTGGTTGGCATTGATAAGTTCTGCCCCTTAGTGTACTTTCGATTTTTTTTGTCATACACGATGCATTCGTGGTTAGTTTGTCCGCTGAACTTCTATGCTAGGTTAATTTATATTTCTTTTATCAAACTTATCTCCAATTTACCTGTCGCGTTTACTAATTATTTCTCAAACATGGTTTTCCATGTTCACTTTTTTTATAAATATTTTCTTATTCTTTTGGAATGCAGTCTTTCCCATGTGTGTTTAGTCAAATTCTCTATGTAATTTCATAAATGTACTTCAATTTACCAATTCTAAATTAAATAATCTGTAATACATAAAGTATTAAATTTTACGTAACTTGAGTTTTGGTGAAGACACCAAACACATAAGATGGGATGGATGGAGTAAATACTAGATAATGACATGTCAGAGTTTATTAGAATTAAGATATGATTGTATTTTTTGATACTCTAGTTTTTCCCCTTTCCTTTTTCTCTTCCTTTTATTCTTTGAAAACATAATTTTAAATTGGCTTCAGAGCTGTTAACATTTACCAGATTACCGCATTTACCACGTGTTCCCAAGATGTGTTAAATGTGCAGTGAGCCTTTTGATTGCCTTCAAATGGTATTGGAGTAGGACTTATAGTCTAATATCCACCAATTTTATGAACATTATCTCACTTATGCTTTCTTATCTAGAAGACACTTAGAGAAGTTCATGAATTGATATATTTGAGTCATAATGGACTTTTTGAATGCAGATTCTTAGACGTTCAGAAGATGCATTTTGTTTTAGTAATGGAAGGTATTTTGATCTAGCCTCTATGACTACATTACTGATATGATATTGCCGAGTTGGATAATCTGACTCTTATTTTGTTATAAGAAAGATTTCATTTGGTGAGGTTATTAGTTTATTACCTCATTTGTGAGTTCAAATGTCCAATTGGTTGACACTTGACATACAAGCACGAGTCTTGTGATTTACATGCTTTTGCATGGAAGTGACATATAAGCATACACTTAACACAACCTATATCATAACAATAACAATTAAGTACTCCCTCAGTCAACACAAATCACTCTTAATCTCTTACTTTATATATCAATTTTTTATCAAATTTGATTCTGGTTTTTGCGACTTTGTAAAGCTTTTAATGTAGTTTCTGAATATGTAATTCTTTATTCTAAAAGTAATTTGAGTGCGGACAGGGATCCGTTAGCTTTATCGTCGGTCAAACATCGTAAATCGTAAAGTATCTTACAATTCGGGATGAAGGGAGTAATTAATTAAGTTTGTGTTTATTTTGCTTCGTTGGCTGTCTCTTAAATATGCGTGTGTATTTATCCTATTTAGGCCTATGCCTTGAAATACTTAAATAACATTTTTTTTTATGTATCATGGTCCGGCGATGCGCAGTTGTCGCCCCCCTCCCCCAAACAATTCACTACTAAGGACTAATTCCATAATATAGCGTAGTAGAGTTCGTATCCACATGAAAATGTGCTTTTACGTGTGTGTAAGCGTAAGAAATCATAGCAAACGAAGGGAGGGGGTTTGATACTATGATACTTGAAGAAGTAAAAACACTAAGATGAATGAATTAAAATAAAAAGGGTAATCCGGCTTGGTTTTGTTAATTTCCACTTAATGAAGTGCTCTTGAATAATTAATTGTAGAGTTTTTAATTCATCTAGGATAATTATTAATAACAATATGCATTCCTTAATAACCTTTACTATTTAGTCAATATAGAATAAACCCCTTATATTGACCCGATAGTAGCAATTTATTTTTAGATGAAATCATGAAATCAACTAAGATTGAAAATCTCAACACAAACATTTTTTGGTTTAATCAATATAATTAATTCCTCTTTAGATTATATACCATGAGATGCATGTGTTATTAATCTAAAATTACTACTTATGAAATGACCAAGTGAATAACATGCATATTCATTGATCAATTCTAGTAATAATCAATATGAAAACATTAACTAATTGATCAGTGATCACTTAGCAACAGAGGATGAGTGATAGAGAACTCAACAACACATTTTTCTGCTTACCCCTTTTTCCCTTACCTGCACTTATTATGATGCTCTCCTAATGGGCCAGTCTAGCGGTCCTCATCCACTAAATTACTTGGCCTCAAACCCTCTTATTGTACAATATTAAGCTACTTAATAAGAGAAGTGTTAGGTCCCTATCATCACCCCTCTTTAACTACCACCTTGTCCTCAAGCCTCAAGATGGGTAGTAAGAAACTGGTCGGGCATTTGGTTTCTGCGGGTTATCTGCTCCATTTGTTTTCACATTTGAAGCATAGGCCCTTTTTACTTCTTTCTTCTCAGTTCCAACTCTGCTTGTGTCAACCTTTGGCCTCACTCTCATGTCTTATTCGGTTTTGGTGACTGAATAGGAGGTGTTATTCCCTTCGCTGCTTCCAGCCAGTGCAAATGCATGTCCATAGTCCCTCCCTGTTCTTTCCAACACTTTTTGTCTTCTTCCTTATGTATCCCTGATCTCATAGCAGTGTTTTTCTCTTCTACTAGCAGAGCTCTATACATTAATTCAGATAGAGAAGCAGATGGATAAAGTTTCAGCTCATCTCTCACCTCATCTTTCATGCCGTTCTGCAAAAATTCCCTGCAACATCTCTGTATCAGTGTGCCTCAGCAGTGCACTACCAGTTCAAATCTCTCCCGATAATCCATTACGCTTCCAGTTTGCTTGACGCTGAGCATAGGTCCAAATCTTAGGGGTGGGCAAACGGGTACAGGAACCGCGGGTCGGGTAGTACAGGTTCAGGGGCGGGTTAGGGCCGGGTCCTAATTTTAGAAAACTCAAACAGTTTGGTTCGGGGCGGGTCTTTAAAAGCTTAGGAACTGAACGGGTCATAAAATTTGAAAAAACGGGTACTCGGACCGACCCTATAATGTTATTTAAAAAAACTCTATTACATTTAAAAAAATATACTAATAAGAGAAAGTTTTTCTTGTTATTGTGTCTAGACAAAGACTCTCAATTAAAGAAACTTGACAGTCTATTAAAAAGAGTTTCAAAGTCAATAAAAACCCTAAATTATTTTCCTCTATTCCAAATGCATCAAACATTCTTTATTTAATATTTTTTTGTAAACGAATACTCTTACTCAATGAAGTGTGAGATATTTATTTAATTATCTTAATCTCACTTATATTTTGAAATTTAATGAGCTTTAAATTGTTTTCATAGACAAATGCGTATTGTAACTAGTTTAGTTTCTGCCGACTTTATAGTGATATCTTTTTAGTTTATGGATAATGATGTCTAAATTTCTACATTTTAAATTTTGGTGTTATTCAATTTGGGTGGTTTTGTGTTGTTTAATTTATAGATTTGTTATTAGATATTTTGTTAACAAATTATGGTGACATTGAGTCATTGATACTTAATTAGTTGGAGAATGTTATAACTACTAGATACTTTGCTAGCATAGCAGTATTTTTTTTTACAAAAAATAAGACCCGAGAACTCGGATCGAACCGGCCCGTTTCAAACGGGGCGGGTAAGGTCCGGTTCCTATTTCAAAAATTAGAATACCCGGACCAAACCTACCCGTTAAGTGAAACCGGTGGTTCTTGAAAATTTATCAATTACCCGGACCGTGCCCACCTTCTAGTCCAAATGAATTTTGAACTAATTCTGGTTGGAACCTGCTGATTAAGGCTGCTTTGAATTGTTCCTAGGCCCGTTCATCATTTTCTCCCTCCCACCATTGGTACTAGTTTAATGCTTTGTCCTCCATAGCAATGGTTACCAACTCAATGATAAGACACTGGATAATGCAGAACACTGATTGTAGTAATTTCTATCCACAAGTAACAAGAATTGAGAGAATTAGGGTTTATTGATGATATGAAATGAACAAGAGTGGAATACAAGAAAAGGGGGGACAGTTCGAGATGCCCAGTCTCCAACAGATCAGTCCACAAGTCTAACAGCCTGCCTACTAGTTCTATGAACTTCTATTTATAGTAAGTGGTCCACTGCACAACATAGCTAACAGACTAGTTAGTTAGTACTAACTGCCTTACTCCTCCTCCTTTGGTAGACTCTATTATAAAACTGATCCGGTTGCCTTGCTGCTTGTCTAACATTACTCCCTCCCTGGAAATTCACCTTGTCCTCAAGGTGAAGCTCTGGAAATTGCTCTTTGATCATTAACATAGGTTCCCATGAATCCTCAAAGCTTGGCAGATTGCTCCAGTGAACCAGAACTTCCAAATTCCCTTCTTTGTCAACTCTTGTATCCAAAATTTCTTCAGGCTCTACCTGCAATTCTAATTCTTCATTCAAACACTTGGGTAGTGGTTGATAGTAGGTAGTGGGGGCAATAGCCTTTTTGAGCAAAGATATATGAAATACAGGATGTATTTTACTATCTTCTGGCAGTTTCAGCTTAAAGGCTACAGAACTAAGCTTCTCAACCACCTCAAATGGGCCATAATATCTCGGACTTAACTTCTGGTTTATCCTTTTAGCTAAACTCCTTAGCTTATATGGCTGTATCTTCAAATAAACCTTTTCCCCTACCTCCAATTGAACCTCTCTTCTATGCTTGTTGGCTTGCTGTTTCATTTGGTTCTGTGCCTTGGCTAAGTTCTCTTTTAGTTCATCAAGTATGTGATTCCTCTGTGCTGTCAACCTGGACACCTCCTCCACAGCAGTGAGGGTAACATCACCCCTGATTACTGCAGGTGGATCTTGCCCAAACAAAGATTTGTAGGGAGTAAGTTTCAATGCTGCATGATAATTGGTATTATACCAATATTCAGCCCAATGCAACCAGCTAAACCATTTCTTCGGTTTTCTTCTAGTTAAACATCTGAGATATGTTTCTAGGCATCTGTTAACCACCTCAGTCTGGCCATCCGTCTGAGGGTGGTAAGCTGTGCTGTACTTCAATTGGGTTCCAGCTAGTTTGAAAAGTTCTGACCAGAATGCACTTAAGAAAACACTGTCTCTGTCACTTGCTATGGTTTTTGGAAAACCATGTAATCTAACCACCTCCTTGATGAATACTTCTGCCACTTCCTTGGCATTATATGGATGTGACAGAGCTAAGAAATGAGCATACTTAGTTAGTCTGTCCACAATTACCAAAATGGTATCCTTTCCTTGAGACTTAGGCAATCCACCTATAAAATCCATGCTGATATCAGTCCATATGTTACTAGGAATAGGTAAAGGTTGTAGCAATCCTGCAGGTTTGAGCGCTTGATACTTATTTGTCTGGCAGATCATACATTCTTCCACAAACTTCTTGATATCTTTTCTCATTCCCTGCCAAAAGAAAAGATTAGAGATTCTTTTCATTGTTCGGAAGTAACCAGAGTGTCCTCCAAATGCAGACTCATGATATTCCTTCAATATCTTGTTTATTCTAGTCGACCCTTGTGGCAGAACTAATCTCTTGTTATAGTATAATAGCCCCTTTGTAATCTGAAATTCAGAATGTTGATCTGGATGTGAAATTACATTCTGAATTAATTCTTTACATTTAGGGTCTGACTTCAACTCCTCTTCCAACCATTCCCATTCTTGGCATGTTACAATGGATAATGATTGTAACATTGGTCTTCTAGATAAAGCATCAGCAGCCCTGTTCTCAACCCCTGGTCTGTATCTTATTGTAAAGTTATATCCCAGCAGCTTAGAAGTCCATTTCTGTTGTTCTTCTCCCATCAATCTCTGCTCAGTTAGAAATTTAAGGCTCTTTTGATCAGTTAGAATCTCAAATGTTCTTCCTAACAAATA